CCTTGCCGTCAGAGGGAGACCTGGTGAGACTGCGCTCAGGGCTGAGCCTTTGTCGTCTGCCGATATGGAGTGTAACCCCGTCTGTAAGGCCACAGCACACATCTTGGACAGCTGGGCAGGTTACAGGGCCAAACACGACATCTTTTTCTTCTGACTTGGAGAGAAATTTGCAAATGGAAATGTGAGTGATGAGTAGTTCTGGTCCTGAGTGGACACGGGGATGAAGAATGCAGTTTTCAGGGGACTGGAGGCAGGAGAGGGTAATAGGCAGTCCAGGGCTGCAGAGGAAAGGCCACAGAGGTTCGAAAGACACCTGTTTTCAGGACTTTGCAGAGAACGACTCCTCGGCGTTAGAGTAGAATCAGCACTTGAGATTTTTTTCATATGATATCCAGAAAATAAAAAGGTGTACGCCCCAGAATAGGAGTAAAGTGATCACAGTGCTCAGATCAAAACGTGAGTGAAGGAGATACCCCAGTTCCTCTCAGGATAGACAGTGACAACTTCCTAGAGAAACACGCGCACATGTATGATAGACACCATAGACAATACGAGTAAGATGGATTGTGCTGAGCAGCACTGAGATAAACCCGTGTTCTACTGTCTGTCCCCGTGTGTCACTCCAGGACCAACAGTACCCACAATACAAACTGAGGATAGCCAATTAGTTCAAGACTTTTCTTAGTTGTTATTACTGACCAATGCTCATTTTTCCCTGGATATATTTATTGTTTGATAAAAAGGTTAAATAGTTTTAAGTACACATCATACAAACATTGGGAAAGCAGTCGTTCAAAATGCACGGTGCAGGCGTGACCAACAAGAACTGGTGAGCACATTTCTCTGTTCCATGTGGAGCGACCTCTCTTTAACGCCACAGGTCTCCTTAACAATTACAGCTTCTCTTGGTTGTAGCACGAAACTTTCCAGTGCTCTCCTTTCCCTCCAAACTGTACGTTTTGTATTTCTTTCTGCACTTTGCTTTTTGTCATTACAGACTTATATAAATATCAGAAACAATGAAGAGAGAAAGAGAGAGAGAGAGAGAGAGAGAGAGAGAGAGAGAGAGAGAAAACTAGTGTGCAGTTCCATAATAGTTAGGTCAACATGGCAGGTCAACACACATCTTTCAGATGCTAATCTTATATTTTCATGTCCAATTTATCTTACTCTTATTTCTGTCTTTACTTATTCTCGAGGTTTTATTTATTTTCTCCTTTGACAATTGTGTTATGTACACAATGCATTCTGGTTACTCTTGCCCCCACCATCTCTTATCTCCTACCCATCCTGATTTCTTTTCATTTCTTTCTTCTTCTTCTTCTTCTTCTTCTTCTTCTTCTTCTTCTTCTTCTTCTTCTTCTTCTTCTTAACTTTTTGTTTTACTTATTTATTTATTTTTGGTTATCCAAGGACAGGGTTTCTCTTTCCAACAGTCCTGGCTGTCCTGGAACTCACTCTGTAAACCAGGCTGGCCTCGAACTAACAGAGATCCTCCTGCCTTTGCCTCCCAAGTCCTGGCATTAAAGGCGTGTGCCACCACTCTTGTTTTACGTATCTGTAATACTTCAAGTCTCCCTCTTGAAGTAGTTCTTCTTTCTTTCTCCCTTCCTCCTTTCCTTTCTTCCTCCCCCGCCTTTCTTTTTTCTTTTTTTTTTTTTTCCAGACAGGGTCTCATGTATCTGAGGCAGGCCTGGAGCTTCCTGTATGGTCAAGAATGACCTTAAACTTCTGATCTCCCTTGCTTCCACCTCTGTGTGCTGGGATTACTGGTGTGTGCCAAAACGGCCAGTTTATGTGGTCCCTGGGATGGACCCCAGGACTTGCATGATAGAGCAAGCAGTCTATAAACTGAGCTACATTCCCCACCCCTAATTATATATTTTAAAAACTGTTCTTGTAGTTGTCCATGGTCTGGTTTCTTTTTTATGGGGTTTTCTTTGTTCTTAAGCCCACATCATGAAATACTTGGGCATCTTTGCTAACTGGTGACTCTTAGTTTTTAATAACTTAAATTAATGTGTGCGATACATACAAAAGTAATATACAATATAATCTATATAACCACAAAACAGAAGATACTAATTTCCAGTTTCACTCAGGGAAGCATGACTCAGGTCCCCTTAGGGTGTGGGGGGAGATGGGTGGGCCCAAAGCCAGGGACAGGAGGAAGCTTTGGCAGGTAGTCGCAGGCTTCCTAGAGGGGATTGTCGGTCTCCTGGGAAATGAAGCCATGCCCTAGGCTCTCTTCCTCGCTGTTTCGTTTTGAGGCCCCCATCTCTTAACCCCAGTTTCTGCATCTCTTCAGTCCTGTGACTGTGGTTCTTTACCTGGCAGTGCAGCACACCTCAGTGGCAAATCTCATCCCGGGCAGGGATTTTCTAGTCACACCAACCAGTTGGTCGGTCGATGAGATCAAAGAGGAAGTTGCTAATGGTTTCTAGACAGGGGCAGAAACTTCACTATGAGAGCTTCTCGAGTATATGGGTTTCTTTTAAGACCTCGTCTTCATAATTACACACCTTTCCTTACAGAGCTCTCCCCATCTGCATTCCCTAATCTTCAGGGTCCCGCATACTGGCTTCCACCCGTGGTTCTGAAATACAGACACCTATCCCATAATGGTAGGTGATGTGTAATGAAAAGTCACCCCATTTCTTTCCTGCTTTGGGGTGTTTCGAGTGGATACACAGGTTGGAGCTGCAGCAACTCTTTTGTGATCTTGAGAAAAAAAGCAGAATTCTGTAGAGCTAAAACAGGAACTTGATTTTACCATTTCTGGATTAAGCGACCATAGAGCCCATTGTCTCCAGATGCTCACTTAAATCATTATCGAATCCATTGTTCATGAGGTCTGTGACCCAGACTTGGTGGCACAAGCCTTAATCTCAGCACTCAGGAGGCTGAGGCAAGAGGATAGTGAATTTGAGTCCAGTCTTGGCTATATAGTAACTCCCATAGTAAAGCTATATGGGGAACATAGCAATACTTTGTTTCAAGAAGCCAAAAATAAAAATAGTAAGGCAGATAGCTCATGGCTTATAACCCAGCACGTTTTAACCAGCACCCTCAGGTCCCCCAGCATTGTTTTCATCCCTCAAGAAGACAGACATCTTTTTTCCTGAATGTACAACACCCGGATACCATATTTTCTTTATGGGAAGAACCCTCTGCCAAAATGGAAGAAATCTCCTTCCCCCGTCAGAGGATTGCCATTCCCAGCTGGAATGACTTCATAAGGCTTGTCCACCCCTGAGGGGACTCAAAGCATTTCCCACTGGAATTGTGATGGCATCTCACTGGGTGTCCACCTCCTCCTCTGGCTTTGTCATCCCCCTACTTGTTTCTACCAAATCGCTAAACCACCCTGTAGCCCGAGGATCTCCCCACCTCCCTTGCTGTAACCTCTCAGCCCGTCAGCAAGTGAACTAAACAGGTCTCAGGTGACCAGGGTCACGCTCACACACTGGTGGTGGCCCCCTACGGATTAATCCTCACAATGGGCTGACCTCCAGAACTTCAGAATGACTTCACCAGAATCTTATAAAGATGAAGATGTTTTGAAACAAGAGTAAACAAACTAAAAAGTAGGTTCTTTGCTGTGACTTGGGAGGTCTTTCTTGATGTCCGTGGGCCTCTAACCTGGTGACCCGTCCGCTCCACTAAGCCTGAGAAACAATTGTGTTTGTGTATTACAGACCCCACATGTGGCATGAATCAAATTGATTGTATTCTTATTATCATTTTGTATTGCTTTCGTGTGTGACAGAGAGGGGGCGGGAGAGAGAGGAGAAAATGATAATGACTCATGCCCAAAGCATAGCTTAAAATATTCTCTCTCAGCCCATGTGAACTCCGGACATTTGTTGACCTAAACAGTCACATTTTCTTTTCTGGAAGTGGCAGTGTTAGAAGAAGTCTCTTGAACCCTTTTTGTCTCTAGGTATCTTTTAAAAGTTGGAGCTCAGGTTGGCCTGGAACTTACAATCCTCCTCTCTCTGCTTCCATCCTAGAAACCCCGTAAGCAGCATGACACCAGAAGCCAGATTCAGTCTCAGAAGAGCCTGGCTGGCTTCTGCCTTCTGCTGCCAGTGGTTTCAACCAGATCTACCTGGCTTTCAGTTCATGGTGACCAAACGTTTCTCTCTGTGAATGCCCAGGAATGACCCAGTCTTGCTCAAAAACTGAAGTTCGTGTCACAGAGTCCTGTGATTTCATGCCCTGCTGGTTGGTCACACACTCTCTTGGCCCAATGCCTGATTCCGTGGGTGAGGAACCTGTGACCTCTAGTATATTATTTTCTGTTCTTGAGTCCTAGTCAACACTGGCTTCAGCTTTCTATTCCTTTTACCCTGCAGCCTGTTTTAAGCACAGCCCACTTTCAAACTCACATCTGAAGTACTGCTCTTGTCTAGACGGGACTGTACTCTCGGGATGATCACAGGTTCCTCTGGAAGGTAGGATATTCATAAAGATCATGCATTCTCCTCAGCCTAGAGCCCAGGAGGACAAGGAGGAGGAAATCAGGCAGGCCTGAGGCAAATTAGGGCTCAGAGAAAAAGTGAAAGACAATCTCGGCTGTAAAAACCAGCTGGTAATTTGGGGGCCTGGGTTCATGCAGCTCTACTTTCTAAACATTTCTCTCCTGGTGGAAGCAACAGAGGGCTCTCCTAGCTTTCTGTTGCCCTGGAGCAATGGCTTCCGATCACAGTAATATTTCTGCTTTAAGCTACACAGGTTGTATAGAAGCTTGAGTAATTTAGTTAAGGCCAATTTATTACAACACAGGGGATCTGGAGCCATGAAGTCTCAATCTCGACTGTCGGTTTGTGCCTGAAGCTTGTGTTCACCTAGACAGCCCATCCAGCCCTTTGATTTTCTAAACAAGGAAGCAGTGCAGCAAAGGACTCCGAGAGAACGGAGCTCAATAATTGCTACTTACTCATGGGCTGTGGATAGAGTTTGAACAATGAGAGGAATGCCATAGATTTTATAATTACCTCTGTTATGAACCACCCTTCATCAGCCACCAAAGTCAAAGGAGAGACGAATTTCCCTTTCTTATAATAGAACCTGCTGGGTATTGCTTCTTTCTCATACACGGTCATGTGTTCCACTGTACTGAGTTTGTGGTATATCTGCAAAGAAAACCAAAAATGAGCTGTTTGAACACTCATGCTAGATCTGTGAGATAGATTATAAACACACATGGTGCGTGCACACACAACACACACGCACACAGAGTTTCGCTACATAAAATAAATACTTTTTTTGTCTTGTGATAGGATTTCTATGTAGCCCTAGCTGGTCTGGAACTCACAATATAGACCAGGCTGGCCTTGAACTTACAGAACTCAGCGTGTCTCTGCCTCCCCAGTGCTGAGATTAATGGTGTGTGCTATGAGAGACTTTTGTATAGCTTGCAAATCAAGCTGGCTTTATCCAGGAAGTCTAACGATCCATGTGCTCTCTGACATAAGAGATGGACCCCCTAGGGACTGTAATGAAAAGCTCTCACGTGTGTGCACCTGTAGATGTATGTACAGAATAGCCCAGGCACACAGCAGAAGCAGAAGAGCAAAGAGATAACAGGGAGAGATAAAGACATACTGGTGTAGTTTCAGGGCAAGACATGACAAAGTATAGTAAAGACAGACATGGCATCTGCAAAGACACTCGGAAGACGCGAGACCTCAGCCGGAGCAAAAATAATGTGCATTGTAGAAAATACCACAGAGATTCTTATCATGTAAAACTCAAGTAACCACACAACCATACATAAGTAATGGTGTCTTCTTAGTGATTTTTTGGAGAGAGTAGAAAGCTCATGGGATCCGGGAAAGATTTTCAGAAAGGGTCATAGGTCAAGACAATATTCTACTTCTATTAAATACGAGGTGAGCACGGCAACGTTATCCTATACTGCTTAGAAGGATAATGTTTTTTATTGTGTGTGTGTGTATGTATATATATAAACATGTATACACACTATATATATTCTTTTGTAAATAATCAGTGACTGGTGAACATATTACAAAACTTACTTACCAAAATCCAAAATTCTATGCAGTAAAATTAAGAAGCAATTGTCAAAGTGGCCTGGCTGATGTTAAATATCATCAAAATGGCCAAAAGGTTAGTGCTCTTTAACTTGACATCAAGATGATGTCCTACCCATATGTGAATTTTAAAATCACCAGGAATTGCTTACTAATCCCATTGCCAATTCCATAATGAAGACGTAAAGTCTATACACACTTTCAATATTTAGCAGAAGCTCAAATATTGGTGACTAAAATTAAAAAGCAACCTGCTGGTGCTGGTTTGCTGGCCGCTAGCCAAATCAGATATGTATTCCTTAATAATAAAATTGTGTTTATTCACTCATGACTTAAAAATAGTCTTTGGGCTGCTGAGTAGAAACTTGTTCACAGTTCCATGAATTAATCTCCTCTGTTTGATTAAAAACAACGTATGCAGAATGCAGAATTATTTTTGAATAAGCGGAAAATCTGCTGACATACACCAGGTCTTGCGGATTGCTGTGTCCATCACATGACACAACTGTCACCAAACACAGCCCCCACTTTTGATCCCCTACCAACTGCTATTGGCTGCTGTCAGGGCTTGGGATGCACGTCCTGCTGGAAGATGCTCTTCCCGGCTCATGAGTGGTAATGCCCAAGCGTTCTGGAGGAGTCTCATGCCTATGCGCCAAATTGGAGACAAAGATGATCTTCCCTGCCAGGAAGACAGAGTTGCTTCCCAGGAACCTGCCAACATGTAACATATTCTTTCCGTTTTCATATTTAGGGGGTTTGCTGGGACGCTGTGTAAACTTCATTTCCTGGCAACGGAGCTCGAGAAAACAGAAAGGGGGAGGCATTTCCCTCGTGAGTGGGGGAAAGGCTGAGAGCAGTGTGGTACTGTTGACGGGGGACCTCAAATGAGGGCAGGCAAGGTAGTGGTGGGACTGCCTAGGAGGCAAAGGGCCAGAGTCTGGCTCTCGTCAGGACCCTTTGACTAAAGGCAACTGTTCTGTCGCTGTTAGGATGAAGGAAGGCAGCAGTTCCCAGACACCTCCTGACTCCCCTGTTGCTGGCATTGCCCACCCCCTCAGAAAGATAGATGCTTCCTGGCCCATGTCAGCTCCCTGGGGATGGACAGGCACCGCATCTATGCACCGGGAGGTGACGAACCAACATGAACACGAGGTTGTCAGCCAAGAGTGTCACCCGTTTCTCCTCATTCTTACCACCCGCCACCATCCCTAACTACTGTTGTTTTCTGAAAGGGTGAGCATGAGGTACTGAGTTCCTGAAAGGGAGTTTGGGTCCTCGCCTGCACACTGTAGGAACTTGACCACACCCTCATCCGATGAGGAAACTTCTCATTGGATGGTGAGCTCCGTGAGTGTGAGTGGCTCACACGTTGTCTCAGCTGTGATCTCAGCCTGCTTTTGTGTACTCCCATGGGCTTTAGGATGGCGCACACTGCTGTGCGCATGTGCAGACAGACGGCAGAGGGGCCAGACTTGTCAATGCCTTGTATGCAGTCGATAACAGAGCTGGGATCAGAACCTAAGGGGCAGGGCTGTGAAGTCAGGGGCTGACCCATACTGCACACACGGGGCCTATGCTGTCTTCTTTGGTCAGTTTTATATCTCTAGCCCCCTGGTGAAAGGGAAACGGGTGCAGATCGGAGTGGCAGCTTCAGTCTGAAGAGTCTGCCTCTGACAGCTTCCTCAGGAGTTTGTCTGATAATAGCCCTGATAAGGGCATGCTGACACGCGCAGTGTTTGCAAAGTATGGGGCATCATCTATTTCACTTAATTTTTATGAAATTCAGTAGAGGTAGATGCTGTTATAGAATACAACAATCACAGAGAATGAATGACCTTTAGAAAGGTCACTTGGTAAGTGGATGACAGCTGATTCCAAAGTCTGTGCTCCTAACCCTGTTGCACAGTTCGTTAAGAAAACCCTAGGAGGAATGACAAAGCACAAACAAGGGACCGATGGGTCCACATCACCTCCCCTCCACCACCGTGTGTCTTGCCTCAGAGTGTTTGCCAGGGGCTGGCCACAGGCTCACAACGGGCCCTCGGTCCTTCACTTGCTGCAGGTCATCGAGGCTGACGTACTTGCTCAGCTCAATCACTTTATCCATCCAGAAGATGTCTGTCATCCCATGGTCTGAGAAAATGATGACATTTAGGTCATTCTGCAGGCCTCGTTCCTGTGGGGTGGACACAAGACATCATCACATTCACTGGAGAAAGGTCCTTTCATGCAAAAATCCTGGTAAAGAGGCATTTTTAAGCTATTGGTTAAAGGAGAATGGAGATTGTTAAAGTCGGAACCCACATTTAACCCCTATGTACAGGTTAATAGACTTACTAATAGTCAATAGACTTACTAATATAGTCAATAGACTTACTAATAGTCAATAGACCTACTAATAGTTAATAGACTCACTAATAGTCAATAGATTCACTAATAGTCAATAGACTCACTAATATAGTCAATAGACTTACTAATAGTTAATAGACTCACTAATAGTCAATAGACTCACTAATATAGTCAATAGACTTACTAATAGTTAATAGACTCACTAATAGTCAATAGACTTACTAATAGTCAATAGACTTACTAATAGTTAATAGACTTACTAATAGTTAATAGACTTACTAATAGTCAATAGACTTACTAATAGTCAATAGACTCACTAATAGTCAATAGACTCACTAATAGTTAATAGGCTTACTAATAGTCAATAGACTCACTAATAGTTAATAGACTTACTAATAGTCAATAGACTTACTAATAGTCAATAGACTCACTAATAGTTAATAGACTCACCAATAGTCAATAGACTTACTAATAGTTAATAGACTTACTAATAATCAATAGACTTACTAATAGTCAATAGACTTAATAGACTTACTAATAGTTAATAGACTTACCAATAGTAAATAGACTTACTGAGAGTCAATAGACTTACTGATAGTCAATAGACTTACTACTAGCCAATAGACTTACTACTAGCCAATAGACTTACTAATATAGTCAATAGACTTACTGATAGTCAATAGACTTACTAATAGTCAATAGACTCACTAAGAGTTAATAGACTTACTAATAGTCAATAGACTTACTAATAGCCAATAGACTTACTAATAGTACTAAGAACCTGACCAATGCTCTAGGCAAGCCAGGCAAAAACACACATTAGATGAGTTAAACCCCACTGGCCATCCATGGTATAAGGAGTCTCTTGGTGTCCAAAAATTACAGAGTGGAGAAAAGAGAGCCTCACACTAGCCTAGTAAAGAAATTGTTGGAGGACGTATGACGGAGTGGCAGTCAGGGAGATGACAAGACATGACAGCGAAACAGGCCAGATTAGTTGCCCTTGCTTTGGGTCACCTGGATCCACTGGATCATATACTTCAGCACCGTGTCCACAGCTTTGAGGGCATCTTTTCGCTGAGGTGACGAGGGTCCATAGTGGTGGCCTTCCACATCAATGCGCTCATGGTATATGGCTGCCAGATCAGCTCGGCCACTCCTGGAGGGAACAGAGTGAGATAGTCACAGTTGAAGGAATCCTCTGGGGGCTGCTCCCTAGGGATCCACTGACCCTCGTGAAGGTGTGAGAGTCCCCAAGTGAACCAGTCCAGCAGATGAGTCAAAACCCATATATCCACATAAATAAGGTGAGTCGACATTGAAAAGATTGCTGGCAAGATTTGAAGAGTGTGTCTACTGGTCACCCCTCCTTCTGGCCATATGGTCTGGCTTTTCCTGTCCACAAATTGAAAATTGAAAGATGTAGTATGAGAAGGAGCATGGTCCATATAACTCCCTTCTCATAACTGGAGGTGTTGAAACACCTCCAGTCAAGAAACTGGAGGTGTTGCTTTCAATAACAACTGTAAAATTATTAGTGGACTTTAAGGGAGTCCCAATAATATGCTAGATTGTGGGTCTGTCTGTAGCTGTGGATAGAGTAATCCTTAGGATTTGTCATTGCAGACACACCCACCCCAGCCATGTGTTCTATGGGGACCTGTGACAGGTTAGCTCTTGGATAGACACAGAGTAAATCCTAAAAGTAACTGTCCTTTAAGGAACTCCCAAACTCCCCCAGGGTCAGCATTGATGGTGAAAATCCAAACCATTTCGCCTCCAGTGCTGGTCTAAGAAGCTAGCAATATCTATAGACATGGTCAGCTTATGGGAAGAAGGAAGAGGAGTCCAGGAAATGTTCTCTCCTTCCTCCACATAACACTTTCCACTGTGACTTCCCCTCCCCAAGCTCTGGCTTTGCCTTTCTTCCCGTCAAGCACCCAACATAGATGGGAGTGATGTTGATAGCAGTAAAGATGGTATGCCAGTATCCAGAACTGACAGATGAGCCAATGGAAAAGAAGTGGAAGGTATTTCTTTCAGCTTGGATCTGTACAAGAGGTAGTATTAATATCCTTGTCCCTTGTCATATTTTCTTATTTCTCTTTTTTAAAAAAAAACCTCTATTTTAGGCACATCTGTATAAAGCACATAGACACAGACACACAGGCACATATTCAAACATCATGTTTTCCCTCGATACAGTCTTCCCAGCATGAGCAATGGGAGAGTGTGATTTCAGGGCTGCGAGGGCCTCAGGTTTTGCTCTCCTCTAGCAGACAGCATCCTCATAATACATGGAGAGCTTGATTTCCCTGGTCGGAGCCACAAGGTAGCCACTCTTCCTTAAGATCTGTGGCAATCATTGTTTCCTGCAGGAAGCTTCCTGCCATGTTCTGAGGCTAGATCAGGTGGCCTTGGGACATGGCACTGTTCTCCCATGACTCTATGCTCACTTCCGGGCACTTTTATCCGTACTTTTCTCTCTCTAAACTAAGAGATTCTTTCACCTCCGGAATGGTATCTCATTCTCCATGGTATCTCAACTCAAGCCTAGAATTTGGCACACAGTAAACATTCTACAGCTGTCAACTAAGTAGATAATAACAAGAGCCCACTAAATGAGCTTTTGCCTATGACCAGGTTCTCTGCTGCAGCATTTACCAAGAGCCCGTGATGAAGGGGAACTATTCTACCCAGCCCAGGGGAACTTTGGAAATCTTTGCTCTGTTGTGTGACACCTTTCAACTCCCAGAAGCTGGCTGTGAGAAAGGGCAAAAGTAACACTAGGAGATCCATCCTTGTCACCTAGGTGCTCTGTGTTATGGGTTGACTTTGTTTCTAGGCCTGGAGCTATAGGGACAAGTGTCCTCACAAAAGAGCATTTACAGATGTGCACATGGAGACGCAGGCTTCAGAGGGTTCTAGAAGTTTCCCGCTCCCTGGCAGGTCTCTGTGACATAGCTGGAACGTGGAAATGTAGATTGGGCCTTTGAAAGTCCATCCATATCTACCCCACCTTCTCAGCCAGGGAAGAGATTCTAGAGTGTTCTCTGCCTGGCACCCCTTTGTAAGGTCACATACCCTTTAGTGATGTCATTAGGGTCTCCTGAGCACTCCGGGGTGCACATCATCAACAGCTTTGAGGAAACATTGGTTCCAGGTGAAGTGACATCGTTTGTCTTTTAGAACAAAACAAATCGACCCTTCGTTTAAAAACCCCATCACCAGCCTCTTCCACAGGGTGGATTGGGTTGTACCTATACATAGTGAGGTACAAAAGGTCCCTCTAGGGCCCAGCAAGTGTGTGGGTGGTGGGGATAAGTCCATATTAGGCAATATGATCTCTATCCATATGCTGAAACTTGTTCCTGGCCCATACCTGGAAGAGCTCTGGGCTCTCCCTTCCTCACTATGTCTGAACACAACGGACACTTCCATAAAACCTGTCCGGGAGATAAGCCTCCACATTTATCTGCTTTATGTACAGGCCTCTTAGGCATCCAGATGTGCTGGTTCATGCACTATATCAACTGTTTAGGTGTCCACACTTCCAGCACAGGTCCTAGATACGGTGGGAAATCCCACTTAATGCATTGGTGACTTAATAAAGTGAGGTTTACTGTGGCCTTGGAGTTTAATGAAATCCACCCAGTCCTCCCCATTTTAATACCCGCCGTATGATAATGTATCCTTAATGCACTCGTGTAGGTTGGTTTCTCCAAGGCTGTTTATCACATCTGAAAATCTCCATGCGGTCAGAAAGCTGGAGTGTGTCACAATTTACCCGATGGCATTGTTTCAGGAAGCTGTCAAGCTCCGATGCCAGGAACACTTGATTTGGGATGCTTGTGTTACAGGGAATACACACGTGAGAGGTTGCTGTGTTAGGGTTTCATTGATTCATTAGGGACCCAAGTCTCCCAGGGCTGACAGTTCTGGCCTGTTTGGAGTTGAGCAGATAAATTCTTGGTAGCCAGCTGTTTCCGATGTGGGTCTGGTCTGTATCACAGGTCAGCTCATTTGTTATGAGGTTGGGTAGGGCAAGTTGGATGGAAATGCCTGCCTGTCTGCTATTGGCCATTTATAGCTTGGAGGTTCAGGAACCTTGCCAGAAGGACATGTGGCCATCAAACCCAGTTCCCAGAAAGCTGCAGGGGGCCTCCAATCCTAGGGTTTCAGGGACACCCAAGTCTCCTATCACCTCATAATTCTGTCTAGATTGCTTTGCAGTATAAAGAGTTCATAATGTCATATGCATTTTTCTTACCAAAGTAGGTTGGGAAGAGAGGAGAATTGGGCAGAGGGAAATGGAAACAATGTAAAAGTATAGCTAGTCACTGACTGTTAAGAATGATGACTTAATATTTAGGAAAAAGGGCTGAGAGGGTCAGTCTACCCAAAGGGTCAGTATCATCTTGGGGCACTATCCAATACCCTTGCTTCAAGGTCACCAGATTACATTCATGGCTATCATACGGATTCTGTAAACTTAGCAGCTAGCGAGCAGAAAAAAAAATGATAATATAAAATTTGAATTTGGGGAAAACCCTGAAATTACAGTTTGATTATCTCAATGTTATTGATATTTTTACATGCATCAATCCCCACACTCATC